CGAGGGATAGAAAACGGAGGGGGGGGGGGTTAAGGTGCAAGTGATATAGGACGGGAAAGACCGTGTTGTGGTCATGTTGACACCTCTGGATCAAAACCCAAAGTTGGACTGCTAGAGTTTTTACTGTCAACTCATCCCTGCCTTTCTTTGCTATTTCAGGGTGCCTTTGTTCCACGGCTGTCAAATGTATGGGGACAGCATTTTGTCAAGAATGACAGGGAAGTGCACCCCTCACGTACATTTTGTGTACGACCACCCTAGTAAGTATACTGTATTGACAGCATTTAGAGTAATTTTGTTGATGAGATTGTCTTTTCTGTCTCCGTACTACAGTATTGTTTGAGAAAGATAAAGTAAAGGTATAGGTACCTAACAAGTATTTTTTCCCGAACAGATAAGCAGCAAAGAGTGGGATTTATTGGCCGAGCGATTAGCGAAGCCCATAACTCCACTGACCGGAAAAGTTTCATTCTGTTTGTCTGTCTGTCCGCACGATAACTCGAGAAAAAATTGAGATAGCGACCTGGGATTTTCAGGGGGCGTTTTGTTTCATAAAAAGACAGATCGAGTTCGAAGATGAGGATTATAGCCCAAAAATTGGCTTTTTAAAAAAATCAAAAACTACAGGTCGCAATACGTACTTTTATCAAATATTTTTTTAAAGGTTCCTAAGGGGTAACTCGCCACAATGGAGCCCCATGAACGAAAATTTCGTCCGTTTGGCTCTATCTTGTACCGTTTAGGTGCTAGGGGGCATTTCTTGGCAAAAATGAGGTGAAAATGATCAAAAGGTCGATTAAATCGTTAAAAAAGACTTCATTTCGAAAAATTGTATATCCACTCCTATTACCCCGTCTCGGGTGAGCGCCGCAGGCCTAGCTATATGTGCGCCAGGCGCGTCGCAGCGTAACAGTGTTTCGTGAGATATCCCGAAGCCTGTTACGGGAGACGTGGTCTGGCGTACATATAGCTAGTTGTACATGGTCGGACAGTTTGCCAGCTGGCACGCAACTTCAAAGAGCACCCAGAAGATATTACAAGTAAAGCAACTGTGCTAATTGGCACAAACGACACATTGAAGGGAAGTTGTAATAGTGTACTATAATTACATAAACATTCTCAACATCCTCAACAATTTTTTTTTTATTTTTTTTACAGGCGCATCAAGAAGAGAAAACAAAACGGAGTATCAGAGGATTGCTAGAAACATTTGCTCGTCAGGAGAAAGTAATTGGCTGAGCGATTAGCGAAGCCCATTACTCCACTGACCGGAAAAGTTTCATTCTGTTTGTCTGTCTGTCTGTTTGTCTGTCTGTCCGCACAATCACTCGAGAATGAATTGAGAGAGCGATCTGGGAATTTCAGGGTTGTTTTGTATCACAAAAGACAGATCGAGTTCGAAGACGAGCATTCTTGCTCAAAAATTGACTTTTCAAAAAATCAAAAACCAAAGGTTGCTATTTTTTTATTTTTTTCAAATATTTTTTTTATGTGCTTCTAAGGGGTAAATCGTGAAAGTAGAACCCTCTGGGCAAAAATTTCGTCCGTTTTGCTCTGTCTTGTACCGTTTTGGCGCTATGGAGTCGGGCAAAGGGCCTTCGGCCCCAAAAGTCACTAATTTTGTTACTCGAGGTATCAGTTTTATTAGTTACTCCACCAGACACCATCAAATAGCTGAGAGTTAACATTAAAATGTTTTGGAATTAATTCCGTTTGAAAAACGCCCTCTGGAGCCCAAACGGTTAGAGATAGAGCCAAACGGGCAAAATTTTGGTCCAGAGGGATCTATTTTGACAAGTTGCAAGATGTAAAAAAATATTTTCTTTAAGAAATGTTTTGAGCTTTTTGTTTCTGATTTTGGACACGTTTATTTTTGAGCCAGAGGGCTCAAAATCAATACAGTTTTTCTTTTTTATGATACAAAGCTACAATAGAAAAATTAGAGTCTTCTAGCTCAAACCGTTTTCGAGTTATCGTGCGTACAGACAGACAGACAGACGCGAAACTTATTGATCATCACTGAAGTAATAGGCTTCGCTAATCGCTCAGCCAATAAATCGAAATACTGGCGTTTTTATGCCAAAATTGTAAAGGATAGGTTGCGATCTTCGTGTGTATAATTGGTTTATCCAGACGTACCTTTTACAACACGTGCCTCTGGTTAAGTAATTATTTGTTTTCTCTAAAACCACATAAAACCTCACAAATGCTATAATAAGACTATCCATGCAGACTTTCAATATGATTTTTTTTTTGGTTTCTCTATAAAACACTTGTTGTTGCTGATAGTTTACTATTTACATCCTTGCAAATGTGTCCTTTGGACTAAAATTTTAAAGACCTGCAATCTATTCTTTCCCCAACAGGTTAATTATTTTAGTAAGTCAGTGTCTGACCCATCATATGATGCCTGCACAAGGTCTATTCTGGAGCTGCTCATTTCCCGTGATTTAAAGAAGTGTCTAAATTGGAGGGGCAGTTCAAAGAAATATGGGATCCAGAAGAGAAGAACTGGCCAGCTTATTATTGGTTTGTGTTCACTTTTCCGCTTAAGTCTGTATTAAAACAGGATTCTTGCTTGTCATCTGTTGAACAAGTTTTTAGCCCGCCCTTCTGCTTTGAAAAAGCTATCCAGCGGGCTTATGCAAACGACCTCGTGTTTGTCTGTCTGTGTCTGTTCCACTAGAAGGAGATGTGCTAGAGACTTCAAATTTTCAGGGTATCTTAAGGTTCACTTCTGGAAAACGAAACGCCTACGGCAAATCCTGGCAACCACCCGTAAAGGACTAAAAGGGGGTATCAAAGAAAATGGGGTAGGTCAAAAAAGTCAGAAAAAATATTTTTTTTAGGAAATACCTCATCATAGTAGAGCCCCGTGCGCGAAAATTTCGTCTGTTTTGCTCTATCTTTTACCGTTTGGGCGCTAGAGGGTCTTGTTTGACGAAAATAAGTATAAAATAGCTGTAGTGAACAATTAAATGTAAAAGAAGGCCCAAAACCGCAAAAGAGGAAAGAAACTCCCTCCCCCCACCCCAAAAAAACGTTTTCTAAGCAGAAGGGTGGGTTGTAGTCGCGGTGTTTCACCGTTACATCCCTTTCTCGTGTGTACGGAGCAAATTTTAAGGCCTACTCGCTCGGCCAAGGGGTGGGCGACTTGAATTTTTCGTGTACACAGGAGTACGGAGTACACGGAGTACAGTCGGAGAACACTGAGTATTGCCAGTCGGAGCGCGCAGAGTACACCTGGAGTACAGTCGGAGTACGCGGGGAACTTGCGACAAAAACAGCCGGAGTACAGTCGGAGTACAATCGGAGAACACCTGGAGTACATTTTGGCCTGTACACAGGAGCCGCCCAGTCGTCCTCCCCTCGCGCTCGGCCCGTAAAGCGCCATATGCTCGAGGACGATAGTCAAACCCCCACGCACGTATGCGGGCGGGACAGTATAAATACGGAAGTGCGCGGGGTTAATCAGCCACCTGGTATTAAAAATTGACAATTTGGTCAGTGACTTCGGTTCTCAATGTGGATTTGTTTGCAGAAGCTGTAAGAAAGCGCTTCAAGGAAACGGCCACTAAGAAGGTGGGATCAGTTATTGGGACTTGGCTGCCGAATAACTTGCGAGACAAAAAGAAGACGACGTCCAAGGGTCCGAGGGTTTTGAAGCACTCGTCCCATTGGACCTGCAGAACAACTTCGCTGTGGGCAGGACTGGAGCCAATAACACAGTGGGGATTCACACAGACATTTTGGATGCTTTGAGAGGTAAGCTGTGTCACCGGCTACAACATCGCCGTGTTGCGGGTTTGCCTACTCCAGAGCGCCAGACGTGGGTTGCGAGTAGGCAAACGCGCACAGTGCGGTGTCGTTCCCTTGACACACGCCACTTGTTCCAGTGTTCACCTTCGCATTTCAGAACAATTTTTAGCCCACGTCCTTCTGCTTTGAAAACGCATAACTTTTCCCTCCCAGGATTTGTCAGCCAATACGCAGTGGGTGGGGCGGACCATCTAGGGACTGGGAAGAAAACCACAAATAGGCTACACTATAATTCCCGCCGAGATGTGATCCTCACCAGAAGCCGTGCTCAGAGAAAACAGCGGCCCGGCGGGACGAGCAAGGAAAGCTGCAACAGCTGCTTCTGCCACACTAGAGATGAGCGAACATGTTCGCATTCGAACGAACTCGAACGGTCATCGAGCTGTTCGTGTTCACTCGAACACGAACATGAGGTGTTCTGATTCGAAATGTTCAAGTACTAATCGAACAGAAGTTCGCCGAAGAACAAAATTGATGAGTGTTTTAAAAAGACGAGTATTTTTTGGGAGTAATTAAGGGAGCAATGGCAGGTTAACAGATAACTACAATTTTAAACGTAAATGTAACTATTGTAAACCAGCGTGGAAAGTTATTTAAACTCGTAAGCAAAACACAAATTGTATTAATTGTTCGTGATCGGATCAAATTGGAACATTACATTATGTGGTTCCGTTCATTCGAAGAAAAATAAGGCTGTTCGTGTTCGTTCGAAGATTTTTAGACCAAATTTGTTCGAGTTCGTTCAAATTCGAACTGGCCTGTTCGCTCATCTCTGTGCCACACTAGAGCGTTTAACTTCACTGTAAAAAAAATCCATCTTAATTTTAAGAACACGTGTTTGGAAGCAATTTACAAAACAAATTTGCTCTTAAATTTAAGAACAAATGTTTTATGGAAATTAAGAACATGTTTTGAAAATTAAGAACGTGTTATGAAACGACAAAAATGCTTTACTGTTCCAGCCTAACGCAAAACTGGAAAATATTTAGTTCTTGTTCGTACGGAC